AAAAACAACCTATTGTTATTAAATAATAAATATGAATAAAATACAGTTAAAACTCAATTAAAAATCATTTTTCTCAAACCGATCTCAATTTAAAACAGTTAATTTTCCAAAAGAATGAGTAATCAACCAAAATGACAATGCTCAATCCCCCTTTCCTCAATAAAGATCCAACTACGCTACTTGAAATCCCCCTTTAAAGGAAATTATGGTTCCCCAGTCTTCTCTGAAGTACTCCCAACAGCCATCACCGCGGTCGCGGTCCAGAATCCCGAATATTTACACACACATAACTACTTGTATGTACATACAGGCAAAAAGAGACACCTAGGAGAAACGGCGGACAAACAACAACAACAGACAGACAAGAGAGATTGCGGCACGATGCGCATACATATGGTACCATAATCAGCTTGTGTGATCTTTCTGTGTGACGTGTGTGTGTGTGTGTGTGAATTGCGTGTATGCATGTGGCTCGACACATTTAAAAGGAGTATTATAGTTTTGTCCCTTAAAAAACAGAGAAACTCGAGTCTACGCTTGGCAGTATCATGAACAAATCGCTCGCTCGAGTATCCTAGAGTCAAGAAGAACTCGAGCGGGCGCACGTACTATATATATACATATAATACGTAACCTGTATACATACATACATACATACATACGTATATATATGTATGTATGTATAATAATAATGTTTTTTGTATTTTTTCATTTTCCTCATTTTTTATCTCGCTTATAATATCTCTAGATGTCGCCTGGTTGACGCATGATTAGTAGTACAGTGTCTCTCCCCTTTTTTTTCTTTTTTTTTTTTTTCAAATAATTGTCAGCAGCTTCGAGAAAAACGACGACTACGACACATTTAGACAATGAGAAATCGACGTCGACGGTTAACGCCCTTGGCAGTGATCGTAGAATTGCATGTAGTTTTTCTTTCGTTAGCCGGTGTGTGTTGTGTGTGAGTGTGTATCATTTCTGTGCCTGTGTGTGCGTGTCCTCTCTCCTTCGCGCTCGTCGCCCTTCCACTCGTTCCTTCTCTCTCTCTCACACTCTCCCCGTTCACTCAATTCCCATCCTCTCCACACTTACGCGAAGTGTAACACAGCAACAGCAGTAGCAACAGTGGTGTTGCTTGACCGGTTTCTGATCCGTCGAAGGATGCGGTTCACCTTGATTCCCGCTGGATCTCTCGACACGTCAAACTCGTCCTCGGGAGAAAACGTCGCCTCAGGCGCTGGGCTTCCGCGCCTTTTTTTCCCATCAAGCAGGGCGACATCTGTCGCCAGGCACGCGAAACGTCGCGCCAACAAAACATGGCGCGCTTCTCGTGCCACGCGAAACAACGTGCCTCTGAACGCTAACGGAACGAAAGAAATGTCGAAAACGACCTGCCGTCGACGGTTCGCGATGAATCGTCAGAACGAGGTGCGCAGAACCGTCCTCCTGTCGTTCTCCCACGCTAGAATCAATTTTATTGCACGATTTTCCATCTGATATCGAACCAACCAGTAGTAGCCGAATCAAAGCCTTCAGTTTTTCTCAAGATATTTTCTTCGCTTTCCCTCCTTGGAAGGAAACCTCGAATCATATTTTTACTTTTTACAGAGATAATACCCCCCAGAAAACCGAAGCTCGATGAATTCGATCGAAACAGTCAGTCTCTAATATACACGTAAACACAGGAGAACGACTGGAGGAGGTGTGTTGCTCCCTCGGTTTCGCCGCGCGCGGTACACACGCTTTTTGAACGTGTTAGTTCCTTTTAAGAATTCTAGAGTCGAAACGACGTGTCAGTTGGACGGTCGTCGACCCGTGGTGCTGGAGCGTCGCCTGTCACCGCGGATCAACGACGCCTTGCTACATTACAGGTGTATACAGTAGGCAATATCGTCGCGATGCGTGATGTCCTCTGTTTCTCCCTGTCCTAGCATAAAACGGCGATGTTAGAAAGCGCTTGATATATGGTAGACGCTCAATTATGTATATGTGTAACGTGTGTGAGTCTGTGTATGCGTATATTGTGATACAACAAATGCAGGATACAGGTATCTCTCTGTACAGGTTTTCAAGCATTGCTGAGATCAATAATTTTCGCTAGACATTTTCCTAACCTCAATCATCCCAGATTTAATGGAGATCTCGCTCCCAGCAACGCTCCAGGGTTGTCATATCGTTGATTCTGTTTTCCTTTTTATTTTTTTTTTTCTCAATTATTTCTCATTTTCTTTTATCTGTTTCATGCCTGTTCTACGGTGTGGCAGTGTCCATTTTACGCAGTTTACTGATACTCCATGGTGTCTTGGTGATGATTGTTTCCGCCTATCGAACGCAGAGCCGGTCACTTTAGTCGACCTGCATCGACATGACCGCCATAATGGGTGTTTTTCAATTGGCGCCTCGCTCGACGCGTGACAGGTGTAACTGTACAATGGTGGAACACGATAGACGCGTACGTCTATAAGATGTTTCTAGTCTGTTCTAAGCGAATTATTAATATTCTTTTCTCTCTCTCCCTCTCTGGATCATTCTCTCTCAGCTGACAAGATAGATCGCCTGTACGTTTGCGTGTATGTATATATATGTCTCCTAACCTCTCTTTTTTTCAATCTGCACGCGAATCTTTTTTTTTTTTGTTTGTTGTTTGTTTCATTTAACTTACTACGGAATACAGCTGCGTTACAATCATTTAAATAGCATAGAGTTACAGTGTTACAACATTGAGAATTCTTAGTGTACAGCGTGAATCTTGAATCTTTCAAACAGTTTTACCAATTCTTCAAAGTGAATGTGCGTACGCGTGCGCTCGTTTATGCATGTATGTATGTGTGTGTTAATTATCTGTCTGTTACACGAGCCAGCTGAAAATCGGTCGCAGAATCTACCAATAATGTGTTTCTCAGCGATCGAATGTATGTGTGTGTATTGTTTTTTTTTTTATGCTAGCATAATGTCAAAGTTCCTCATCAACGTTTCCCCCATGAAGAGCCTATTATACTCTCTTCCAGTTTCATCTGGCTGACAGCTTCTCTCCGTTGCTTTTTTTCCTTTTCCAGCTTTCACGATGTCATCTCATTTATTCCCTCCATCTTGCACCCCTTCTCTCCTCTTCCTCACTCTCACATCGGTCCACTCACTCTCTTTCGCGCTGACGTTCTCTCTTTCTCTCACTCTCACTCTCTCCTCCCTTTCGCTCTTTTACACAGATTTACATTTATTTTACTTGATTTTCTTGATTTTTCATCTTTTTTTTTTTTATTAAAAAATTAAAACGGACGGTTAAATTTCATGGTTTCGTTTTGTCGGTGAGCCGATGTCCGCTGCTGAAGGCACAAGGCTTTGCACTTGAACTCGGTCACCTAGCCTAGCTTCACTGACTTACTACGACCTACTACCAACTAGCCTCGCTTACTTTTACTTTACTTAACGTCCTACGTTGCTACTACACGCTTCTATTCTTTCTCCATCTCTCTTTTTCTCTCTCTCTCTCTCTCTCTCTCTCTCGTTCTCCCACTCTCTGCCTTTGTTATCGCGAAAAAGAAAACCTGGACGTGCGCAAATGCCAAAGCCTCGTCTTCGACCTGTTCGACCTGTGTCATCTTCACCGTCTACGTCATCGTCATTATCATCATCGTGATCATCATCAAAACCAACTCTTTGTTTCATCCTCTTCTATCCATCTCTTTTCCTCGTATAAACAATGTACATGCTAGCAATATATTATTATGCTATGTGTTGTGATATAGACTCTATGGTATCATTATGTATAATCGTATCATTTGTTAATTTTTTTTTTCCCTTCATCTTTTTTGTCATCTGCTTCTTTGTCGAAACACCTCGCACTATCGATTCGTGTGTCGGGTCCCGCCCTCTTCTATACCCCTCCTTCTTTACACACACACAGAGCTATACACAAGTGCGATTGATCCTCCTTGTCCTTATCATATCAATGTTATCATCGTGATTATCATTCTCTGTCTCAAATATTCGCAGCCGAAAAAATTGCACACTCATACGAGATATACACACAAGCATTCAACCTCTCTTTCTCTTACATACACACAAGTGTACATTCTCTCTTACTCGATTCGTCTGTTGCGTACAACGCGCCCGCCTTTTAGTCGGTTACCTTATACATTACACATTATACAATTACATATCGATTCCGGGGGTAGCCAGGTAGAGGATATAGTAATAACATAACTGTAGGTAGCTCCTTATTACAGTCTCTGTACTGTCTCTACGTATCACAGCCTGGGTGCCTCGCCACTGCCCTCCTCCTCTTCGCCATCCAATTGTCCAGCTCTCTCCAATCGACTATATATCAACATGTTGGACTCTCTCTAACATCTCTCTTTCTGTGGCTCTTATGAAGCTTCTAAGAGAGAAGGTTGTGAAGCGAAACTCTGAACGAGTCAAACAGTGTCAAATCTTTCAGACACCGGTGATCTCGCCCTGATGATGAGGCAGTGGCATGGTGGTGCACTAGTACAGGAGGTTTCGCCACGTCTTGTCGATGACGCTGCGCCGAGCCAGCCTCACCGTCGTCGCGCGGACACGCGATGAAACAACAACAACAACACTGTTAGCCGACGGGGATCGGCCACGGGGGAACTAGGGTGTCACGTCCCAGATCTCGGCGAGGAAAACTGGCAGCTTTTTGTTCTTGAATTTTAGACTGAAGCACATCTCGCTGTTCTGGTTGCCGAGGGTCCGCAGCTCGGTTAACACGGATAACAGTTTCGCGAAGATCGTGCCGGACTTCGGCCTGCGACGGTTGTCCACGTACGCCTTTAATGCCTCCAGGTAGATCTCTTGGATCTTCTCGACTTTCCAGCCTTCGAGCAGGTTTGGCCTCTCTGTGAACAGAAATTAGAACAGGTTCTTTGTGAGGATACAGGTTTCTATAAAATTGGTAGATATATCTACAGAATTTCTATATTAGCTTTGTAGGGGTTCTATACGATTTGTATAGAATTGGTGTTAGCGATGAGCTTAGAATATGATTGATAAGACAACTGAAGGGTTGAGGGAATTTGTGATTAGATTACTGGAAGTTTGAATTGGTAACCAAATATTACTATATAGCCAGAATCAATCAAATTGAAAATGAATTAAAATAAAAGAGGACCTAGAGCCTAATGTCTTGAATTTGTAGCTAGTCAACTGTCTAAAACTGTTATCCATCTGAGAATAATGATCAAAATACAATATAATTAACAGGGCTCTTATAATACAAAGAAAGCTTTTGGTTAATTATTATAGACTACTCTATAAATTCTTTATCTAAAAAACTGAAAATATAGATGAATTAAAATAGTGGTTGCAATAGAACTAGACATACTACTCAGCTAGCCTAATGTAAAAACCACTTAGATGTAAAAATATCACCTACAAGAAAAAATATTAAATGTAATTTTTAACGAGTCTATCGCTGAACAGAGGATCGAGTTAATAACCAAAACTTATTCTTTACATACCTGAGAATATGACAATGGCCGTCAGCAACGCGTACTCAGCGTTGTTCACTTTCATGGCGTACATCTGCCGGCAGAAGTGTAGCAGGTCCTCGATCGTCTCGCCCATGCCCGCCACGTTGTAGCTGTCCCTAGTGTACGGCTGGTTGTTGGCGAATATTATGCTGTCCGTTTGCACGTCGTACTTCCTCGCCATCCTGAGCATCATCACCTCGCTGGAACATGCTTTCAGCAGGGCGATCTGATCCTCTCGCATCAGCTCGTCGAAGCCTGGTAACCTCTTCGAGAACTCGACGATCAGCTGCACCGTCAGGATCGTGATCTCGGTGATGTGCCTGAACTTGTAATCGCTGATATCTTCTCCTTCAGAGGGCTGATGCTGACATAGAACGTACGCAATCATTATTCTTCTGCAATCTATTTACTTTTACCGAGGAAACTTTCCTCGTTAACAGAGAGGAGACAGGTTTATTCTGGTGTCATGCTTTAATTTCGAGAAATACTTTGAAGCTGAAGGCTTAGTATTTACTAAGCTACTGTTTTGCTTTTTTTTTTTTATTTGTAGTCTATACGCCTGTAAGCATCCACAGAAGAACAGACTAACTTTTAAAGCAACTTATAAAAATTTTCATCTCCAACTTGAAGTCCTAGCAAAAGGCACGATAGCTTCCTCTTGGTCACGGAACGCGTTCGAAACGAAGCAAAAAAGGGGGATCTATGTCCTCGAGTAAAGATGACACCAGCTCCTTTACAGCAAGGTAGCCAAAAGTTCCGTTCTACTTACAGTGATCCTCTTGAGATCCTCTTCACTGGGTTGCTCGTACTCGTTCTGAAAATACACGAGCCTGTGTATCAGCTCCTCCTGCTCAGGGCTGATCGGCTTCACGTAGCCGAAGGGACTGACTGGCGTCAGGATACCGCTGCTCCCAGACGTGGACAACGATTCGGCTTCCGCTGGCTCAATCTTCACGCCCATCTGCTCGCCGCGTATTCCACTGCCTGGAGAGCCGTTCATCGTTGTACTGTTCGGCTTATCCTTCTCCTGGAACCAAAAAAATGTGCCTCTTGTTAGTACTCGAATTCTATCACAGGCTTTTAGGGGCTAGATGTAATGTTTTCTGCGTTAATGTTGAATTTATGAGAGGTTAGGACAGAGCTGTTCGGGCATGTGTGCCCGCTGTTGCCCTCGGGGCACTGCTGTGGGCAACACTACAGGCAATTGACGCCGACAATCGTTAAATTTGTGATGGGAGCGTAGACTCTATCTTCGAATCACAGTTCTCATTCTTAGACCTGGTAATCACTAGTACATTCATGCGTGGCTTTACTGCCTGAATATCTGACCACTGCCCTATAGGGCAACTTGTTGAGCGGCTCTAGCTTAGATACAGTGAGATCTGGGAAGGTTATGGACAAATGGTGCTGCTTCGTGGTACACTTTCTGATGGCTTTTGGTAGCTTGCCTTTTGGCTACTCCATTAGTAATTGACAAACAGCGAGGCAATGGAAGGTTAATGATAGACGAAGAGCTACATCGTTACACATTTCCTGATACCCTTGATAGCCTACAATTTCGCAGCATTGAAGCGGGCTTCGTCGGCAATCGAGTGAACACAAGCAAGCCTAGACAAGGCTCGATACATTTCTAAAAAAAAAAAAAAACTGTTCTCAACCTACCTTCTGCGCTTTCTTCTCCTTACGCTTGACAGCGCACTGGTACTCTGGCACCACGCACTCAGGCCTCATGCCCACGGTCAGACACTTCTTCAGCCTGCACTCCTGGCACTTGCGCCGCATGTACATGTCAATCTCGCAATTGTTCCCGTATTTACACTGGTACACCGCGTTCTTCGTGATGCTGCGCCGGAAGAAGCCCTTGCAGCCCTCGCAGGTCAGCGCGTTGTAGTGGTAGCCAGAGGCACGGTCACCGCACACCAGGCACAGCTCCTCCTGCTGCCTAGGCGTCGGTCCTTTCTTCTTCCTAGCGTCGCAGCCGTCGCTGCCGCCTCCACCACCGCCACCTCCGCCTCCTCCGCCTCCGCCTCCGCCTCCGCCGCTTCCATAGCCGTTCAAAGAGCCAGGCTGCGACAGCTCGTCCCTACCTGCGAACAGAAGTACAAACTTACGTTAAACTTGTATTCTTTGATTAGCTTTGCCGTATGTATGACGAGGATTATTCTGAAATTTCGTGGTTTTGTTTCAGGATTAAGGTATACGTCAGCGGGTGTCTAGGGATACTGTGAGCCTCCCTGTTCAAGATTTCTTGGGTAACTCGAGTTTTTCAGAAATACGTCTCATCTGTAGTATCTTTGATCTAGGGAAACTTGGATAAACCTAGATTACACTCTCCAAGTGATTCTAACAGGTTCTGATAAAGTACCAAACAAGTGTAAAGAATTACTCTGAAGATTCGTGATCTTGTTTGCAAATTAGTGTGCACCAATTGACGTCCAGGCACACTTTAAGTCTTCCTACGTTACATTTCTTTGGTAACGCGACGTTTATTCATGGAAATCTATCTCTACCCAAGAAAAATTCATCTAAACCTGGAAAATACTCTCCAACTCATTCCAACAGGTTCTCATATGCACCAAATAAGTGTACAAACAGTTGTCCATCAATGGAAGATTCTAAAATAACTTAAGATCACCTGATAGTGTCAGAAGTCTGCTCAGCAGACCCCTAGAACGAGCCAATCGCAAACCTACGACTATAACTCCCCCAAAAAAATTCTTATTACCCCAAGAATCTAGTCTGTCATCCAGACCCTCCTGGTAGAGCTAGAGCGACACGATCAGATGATAAAAAAGGAAAAGAAAAATAGAAAAAAAAGCTCTAGCAAGTGGCGTAATTTGTCCTCACGAGGTTTCCGGCGATTACGAGGTGTGTTACGCCGCGGCTGGTGCACGCGTGTAATGCCCGTGACTCGAGCAAGCGGGTTCCAGTAACCTACGTGGCGACATCGCCTCTATTACCCCCTTTATCTGTGAAACCCGTCGAATGGAACGCCGCGCGGTGGAAGTCACGGTCGGTGAAAGTACGCCGACTCTGCACGCGCCTGCCTTCCTCTCTCCAGCGAGGCGGAATCGAGCGCCGCGTGGCGAGGAATCTCAACGGACGTTCGGTTTCTTGGAAACTGTGGCTGAATGTGGAACTGTTCCGTGCTCTGGTAGCACGCTAGCACGGTATCAAATTTAATAATAATAATCATCGTAATAATAGTAACAACGCCTTTATTATACACATTTTGCACAGGTGTAAAGAGCGAGATTCAGCTACGGCTACTATTACGCCTGATCTGGTTTAACGGCAGTCGTAAAGGACGATCTTACGAATGCTAAATTTGCCAACCTTACGTACCATTTTCCTAGAGATTCATTTTATCAGCTGGAAAGTAAAATCTCGCACTTTTAGAAGTTTCGAGGTGGAAAAATATTTTTTTTTTGAGGTAAGCGATGAATCTGATCAGCTGGAAATTAAAATCTCACCTACCCTGGAAAGACTGGGAGATTAAAAAATATCTTTGGAAAGATTCTTCTTAGAAAAAAGTTTTTTAAAGAAAAGGAGAGAGAGACGAAGGTATCAGACGCGAAAAGATCGCGAGTTTATTCGCCTGGACGATGAAGAAGGGGTAATAACCGAGTGACCACCTAGCCCGGTCAGTGTCTCAGTGTTCCAGGCGGATGTTTTCACGGCGATCAGTACTTCCGGGTGATCCAGGGAACCCGTCTTCAGGCCCCTCTTCGCGGAATAATCTGGGGGGAGAGAGAGAGAGAGAGAGCACGTTCGCTTTTCGCGAGGAAGGAAAATGAAGTTTTACTTCTTCGCTGTATACAGGGTGAATCACATAACTTATCCACCCGAGTAACTTCTAAAGAATGTGTTCTAAAGCGGGTGATCAAATTATTAGAGCCACAGCACGAAAAATATGTTTTTTGTGTTTGTGTAGAAATAAAATCACAATATCAATTTTCCACTAAAAATACACGAAAAACTTAACTTATGTAGTTATAAAAAATACAGTTAAGTAGTAACAGTAAGGTCAGTGTTTTTTCGATACATTTTAAGTAATTTACTATGCATTAGAAGTAGTAAAAACACTGCAACAAAAATTAAAATACTCAAGATCTATAGATCAACAGAACTGTAAACGTGGTTGTCAAGTGGCAGTTCTGATACAAATTAACGTCCATATGACAGATAATACTGCCTAAAGTGTTGCCAAGTGTATATTTGCAATTTTCAAACATCAATGCTTCATAAAAAAAAATAACAGAGATTCAGTGTAACTAAGTTTTTCAAAAATTAATCGTTATAATGTAACTGTCAATTCCTTGCAGGTGGGCTCTAATAATCTGATCACCCACAGTATACAGAAATTGCACGATATCGGCGGAAATACACAACGTTGAAGCGGTTTCTTTAAATGACCTATTTATTTACAAGATATCTTTCAAGACAATTTTTTAAATTTTGTCAAGTGGATTCACTAAGAACTGAAGTTTCTATGAAGCAGTAGGTATTAACCTTTATTTAACCTAAATCACTTCTTTACCATTCTATAATTTATCTTTTTTTTTTTCTCTCTTTTTTTAACATTTACTAGAGAGACAATTGAATCTGCAGTGTTATCATTAATACAGATCGATAACGAGCACCTACTGTAACTAACAGATAAACAGCGAGTTCACCAGCAACGTTCTCGCAAATGTCTCACAAATGTTTTCTACATTTCTGTTTTAAAATGAATAATTTTCCCTTCGAGCTGTTCCCTACTTGTATTCTCGTCGTGGTACAGTCGGTTGAACCGATATAGCGAGGTCGTAAAATGAGTCATGCGTCGAAGTACACGTAATCCGAGTACCAAAACAGCAATTTCAGGGAGATAAGGAGCTTGAGCTTCGCTTAGGGCTGTTCGGCCGTAAGGCGACGGAGGCTTAATATCGTATATCTTGAAATGTCAAAGATTCTCAGCAGAAATTTTAAATATCAATTCACAAATCTCACACACGGCCCTGAGTGCGGCTACATCAATCGGTTTCGCCGCTTAATGCTTTAATTTACGACCTCGCTGTATCGCTTCTACTAACTATACAGGGTGTCCCGTAACTCCTCGAACACCCGGAAATGGGGGGTTTTTGCTGGGGTGACTCTGAACAACTTTTTCCTTTACCAAAATGTTGTTTGAAGCTTCATTTTTGAATTATTAACGAAAAGAAACACTGGCCAATCGGAGCTCGCGCTCAGGGACGGCCGAACAGAGGCTCACCCGCGCGCGCGATCGAACAATGCGTACGCGTTAAAAACGACCTTCGCTATTTTCTTCGCGATTCCGACTAATTGCAGTTTTTTCAAAAATTTATACAAACGTAGGAATGACGGCAAGATCCCATTTCTCTAAGCCTTATAAAAATATCGGTGCAAAGTGAAATTTGTTTGACAGCGATAACCGAGAAGTCACGCGTACGCGTCGTTCACGATAGCGCGCGGGTGAATCTCTGTTCGCCCGTCCCTGAGCGCGGGCTCTACGCGCGCACTGATTGGCCAGTGTTTTTCGTTAATAATTCAAAAAGGAAGCTTCAAACAATATTTTGGTAAAGGAAAAAGTTGTTCAGAGTCACCTCAGGAACCCCCCATTTCCGGGTGTTCGAGGAATTACGGGACACCCTGTACAGCAGAGACTCAACGTGACTCTAAGTAAAAATCCGTGGTTCACGATGGCCAAGCTATTTTACCATTACGATCGATTCATAGCAGGGATACTAGTTCTTACTTTTATCAAATAAATTTTTTAGGTATAGATGTAAGAAAAAAATGTTTTCCTCTCAAGTCTTCAGAGCTAGTAAAATAGACTTCTGGTGGCAGAAAAAATATTTTTTTCACTTTCGAATATCTACAGGTATTAGATTTTCATTTCTAAAACGTTTCCAGGTGGCCATCGATCAACAATCTCTCGAAACAGCGATAAATCCCTGCACTGGCGGACAATCTAGCAATAAATGAAAAGGAACCGGTTGTCATTAATCACATCAACAATATTCACCCCGGAAACGACGCTTTATCATTGACTCGCTGCACCCTGGAAAACGTTCCGTTGGGCAATAAATCGCTTGAACGTTGCTGGAAAAGTTCGATTCGAGCTTCTGGATATAGTGATGCGAAGAAGTGACACAAGTCTTTATTAAGCGTTACATTTGTTCGAAGTGCTAGCCTCGGCGTTGTTACAACGTGTCAAGTTATGAAACTATCTCGTCTAAATCTCATCTAAAATATAATTATAAAGCATCGAAACTTTAGAGTAGCTATCGTTTAAGGATCAATGATAGAACAAATTTTTCTTGGAAAAATCATTCTTTGATAGTTACACTACAACTCATAAGTATTCACCCATCTGTTTATTCGCGATGTCTTTTATTTCAACAAGTAACTTCGTTTTAACCACTTTTCAGAAGAGAAATCAAGGAATTAATTTGTTTCGTAACCTAATATTTAACCCTTTTGTGATCCATGGAATGCATATGTGTATGCTACTTGAGTATTTGAATAAAAATTTCTATTATAGACACGATTATCGATACACAAATGATAAATTCTTTAAAAAAATAATTCGGTCATGAAAGGGTTAATCTCTTCTGAGATGATTTTTTTAAAGTTAGAAAGAAATGATCTAATTCTTTAGGTAGTTCTTATTAGGAGATCACGTAATGA